TATTCAAAGGTTCGAATCGATCGGTTTATTTGTTCGACAGGTAGATAGCACGTCTGCGAGTTTGAAAAACATGTTTTCGAGAAAATCGCGCTTCAAGTCCTAAATTGACAATCTTTTGCTCCGTAAGCTATTGAAAGAATCTTCTTACAGGAGTATTCTGCACTCTCGGAACCTGCGGAACGTGCGAGAAAAGAAATGTCGATTTTTCAACCCCTTCGATTTAAATTCTAGATTGATAATCTTTTGCTCCGTGAACCGTTTCATGCAAAAGCTCGGAATATCCACGATTTTTCGAATTTGAAGGAATCTTCTTATGGGAGTATTCTGCACTCTTGGAACCTGCGGAACGTGTGAGAAAGGAAATCTGGATTTTTCAACCCCATCGACTGAAATCCCTCCCTTTCGAGATACATAAATATCTCGAGAGGCTTAAAAAAATTTTCGAAATGATTTATCGATCTTTCTCGCGCAGCCTTTCTTATCCGCGTTTTCGCGATTCTAACTCTAGCAACGTTCAAAGGTTCATAAGAGGCGATTCGAAACGCCGTAGCGGTGATCGATACATCGAATAAAAAGGAATTTTCCGAAGCGTGTTATTTTTAGATAGACAGATGCTACAACCTTGGGTCGTATAAAAGTTGGTCTAAAAATAAGTGGCCAATCCTGTCGGCTTATTTACTAATGGAAAATTGGTTCATCGACGTGTAACGGTATACAAGCGAGTACCGTTTTAAAAATGACCGCGAGGAATTCCACCTCTTTTCGCAAGAAAGCGAAATAATAAGCTTGCTTTTTCTACTCTGAATACTTATTCCCGAGTGAAAAATTGTTTGAACTTCTCCAGATGTTTTCAACCGTACAGATACGTGAATGTTCATGGTTAAATCTGGCAAAGTGATACGTATACGATAAAGAAACTGATTTTTCCTTGATAGGAGTACAATTGAATGGAAGCTAGTTTATTTTAGGCATAACGAAAGCTATTTTGATCGCAAATAGGACTGTGTATGAAATTTTAAACGATACGCAATTAGAATCGTAATACGGTTCGAAGTAGGGCTGTTACAAATTTACAGATAATCGAATCTTGAGTACCTAAGTACTCGGATAGGTACTTAATTTAGAATGGGAAAATTCGGATTTACATATATTCGAATCCTGAGTATCTGAGTACTCGGATACATACTCAATTTAGCCCGGAGAAATTCGGATTTACGGATATCCGAATCCTGAATTTTCGGGTATTGGGTAGATACTGAAATTAGACCCGGGAAATTCGGATTTACAAATATCCGAATTTTGAGTATCCGTGTACTCTGATAGCTACTCAATTTAGACCCAAATATCCGGATTTACGGATATTCGAATCTTGAGTATCCAAATACTCGGATAGATACTCAATTTAGACCCGGAAAATTCGGATTTACAAATATCCGAATTTTCAGTGTCTGAGTACTCGGATACATACTCAATTTAGCCCCGAGAAATTCAGATTTATGGATATCCGAATCTTGAGTATCCGTGTACTCTGATAGCTACTCAATTTAGACCCAAATATCCGGATTTACGGATGTCCAAATCTTAAGTATCCAAATACTCTGATAGCTACTCAATCTAAACCCAAATATCCGAATTTACGAATATCCGAATCTTAGTATCCAAATACTCGGATGCATACTCAATTTAACCCCGAGAAATTCAGATTTACGGTTATCCAAATCTTGAGTATCCAAATATTCCGATAGTTACTCAATTTAGACCCAAATATCCGGATTTACGAATATCCGAATCTTAGTATCCAAATACTCGGATGCATACTCAATTTAACCCCGAGAAATTCAGATTTACGGTTATCCAAATCTTGAGTATCCAAATATTCCGATAGTTACTCAATTTAGACCCAAATATCCGGATTTACGGACATTCGAATCGTGAGTTTCTAAATACTCGGATAGCTACTCAATTTAGACCCAAATATCCGGATTCGTGGATATCTGAATTTTGAATATTTAGGTACTCGCGTGATTTGGATTCGAATATCGCGACGAGTCTATCGGATACTAAATATCATTGTCGAACCAACCCCTGCACATACTAATTTTCTCATTCTTTAATCTTAATCCTTTACCTAAACTCGCTTTAATTTTTGCCAAATGGTTAAGTTTACTTTTCAAAATATTCCCAGATGCTTATCATCTTGTCGATAATTACCACCAGAAAAAGAACTTCTTTGTTTAGTTCGATTACATCGTAATTACCCTTGCAAAGGTAAAGGATAATTAACGAAACAATTGAGATTTTTCTTTGATACAAACTTGCGGCTATGGAAACATGTAATTACTTCGGCGAGCAGATATCTATAACCACAAATAATTAACGATTCATCGCATGACTGCCAAATTCATTAATATAATTTCGAAAGATATTATCATAAAAGCACCGTTTCGCGGAAGTAAAGAGCTAATAGCACAACCTAGCAGATTATTCCCTATTATCATGCTACACGAAATTGAACACGATTTCTGAACACATTAGAATTATTAATCTTATCGTAGAATTTCACTGAAAATATAACAATCGAATATTCCGAGATAATATAAAACATCCTCGAATTGAAACAAATTACCATCGTTAGAGCATCCTGAAAAGTTTGGACCAAATTGATAAGCCGCATTTTCTTAAGATATTCAATAAAAACGCGAGAAACAAATTTCACAATATAAATTATCTTGCAAAACACCAATTACACTTTTTAATACCAATTTAAGTGTTTTCAGACACAAGTTAAGTTAGGTTAAATTAGACAAACAAACATTATCTACATTACCTCTTTTTTTTTTATCTCGTATCAATTTTGTCCTAACGTTTCACAATATCCTCCACGATTCCAAGCGCACCACCTGTAATTCCCATTAAAAATTGGACGAACCGGTAATTACAGTCTCCAAGAAGTAACAAGAATTATTCAGGTGGTAAAATGATTTTAAAATTCGACTTTCAAATACCTCCCAGTCGTCTCGGACATTTCCACGATAGCCAACGAGTATCTTTCCCTCGAGCGAAATTTTCGAGCCGATCGCCGAACAATTGAATCGCCCATGGTTCACCAGCGAATGAGTATTTCATCGCGATTGCTCGCCTGTTTCTCCGTCGGCTGGGAAATAAATCATTACGCGAGGAACGCAACCGCTTCGACGTTACGTAAGCGAAAAAGGACCGGGGAAGAGCTCTCTCGCGTTTTCCTTATCGGGAAAATTATTTATGTCGCGGCGTTAGGCAAGTGTAGCAGACGTTGCTAAAACTGTACACGGCCCGGAGCTGTGGAAGAAACGAGTCGATGAACCAGCCGCGATAAATTGTATCGACAAAAATCGCGACGTGTTTCATAGAAAATGGCCACTATCGTTGAAATCTGATTATCGGCGAATGTACATAGCAATTCAATTAACACCTGCGAGATATGCATCTACCGTGATATATTTTCCAGTTCGAAGAAGAGAACAATCGTACGTTTCTTTAAACGAGTCGAGTCGGTGAAATTCAATTCAGATGGTATCTCGAAATTTTTGCCGGATGATCTAGAGTACATTTGAAGGAAAAAGATTTGTATTCAAGTAGTATTGCGCTTTCTTTTTCTGCGGATCGTTGCGAAATTACAGATTCAGATAATGTCTGACAGATTTTTTCCTTTAAGATTGCATGCAGCGTTGATTCTAATAATATGACTTCTAATTGAAGAGTACGGCTACTTTGCCTTTTAGACATAGTGATTTAATTCTTTGTGACACAGTGGGATAAAACGTGACCCGCCTGTTTAGTACTTGTAATATGCACAGAGTGTTTCTCATCCCTCCTTGAAATATTAAAATAACAAAACTAGACTAACTTAACTTGTTTTCACAAGTTTCATGCTGGGAGTATTTATGTCAAATCTAACAATTAAATGTCTAAGCATTTATTTTTTAATTTTAGTCGTTTTATGTCATAATTCGTCGTTTACGAATAAAACAAACCTACTTTGTTACATATTTTTTAAATAAAATTTCTGTGCAACTAGACTTTTCTCGTCCTAAAATCCTGCGTCCTAAAGAATTAACGCGATCTTTACATTTCCCTTCTTACATAATTCTTACGTAATTCTTTCAACTGTTTTTTTTTTTTTTTTGGTTCTATTTATTTAGATGTAACAAATTTTCGCGTATATTTATCAATGACCGTATAGAACCATTTTCCAGGGAAATAAGTATATTATCACGAACAAGAGCAATGAAACATAGAACCAGTCGGTATATAGACACGAAGTCTGAATTAATTTGCACCAGGTGTACTAAATATGATGTACCCAGCGATCGATACCTTAAGAGAATACATTCAATCTTACAAGACTTGTTCATGTGAACACGGACACAGAGGTTTGTGTGCGCGTTTGCGAAAAAGGTCGGGCGAGAGATGAACCGTGCGGAGCACAGAAACTCTGTAAAGCGGATTCTGTATGTTTATGAAGTAAACCAGACTCAAGGGACGTGCATCTCTTTTCCTAACTGCAGAGGATCAAATTTAACCATCTGGATTTCTCCCTCAACTATCTCACTTCTCTTCTTCTGAACTTTTCTAGCCCCTTCCGGAAGTGGTAATTAAAAATTTATCTGGAATAATTTACAAAGGATAACTGAAAAACACGTTGAAAATAGAATTTCTTCAAGAAAATTCACCTCTACAAGAGAAATCTCTCAAGAAAGCACATGTTTCCTTCACTTTTCCATATTCTACAAACAAAGAAAAATTTACCAACATTATCAGTATTGTTTATTTATTTCCCATATATATATTTTTATCATGTTCAATCTTATTTCCTACCTCCTACGTGTGTTCCATATTCATCATTACAAATATAGTATGCGGTAATGCATCGTGACAGTATACAAGTTTTATGTGTCGATGATCGTAAAGGCTGAAGATCATCGTTAGAAATAAATGGTAATGGAAAACATCAGACTCACCCAACGACGACGGAAGAGGATTCATCATTGTTCGGTGGTCCCGACACCTGGACTTTGGGCACGTTGTGGACATCCCCTTGTACTTGGCCGTATCCGTGTCCATGACTTTGTTGTTGCTGTTGTTGACTATGCGTCGCCGAGTATTCATCGCTGTCGCTACTCTGCGGTGGTTCAGATCCTACTCCTCCACGAGGTCTGTGAAAAACAGTACCTCCGAAATATTAAATTATCCATAATTACCGTTTCGATCGTATTTATGTTAATTCGTATCCCTCCGAATTCTTTACTAGAGATAGCAATTTTTATCCAGCAACATCACGTTTAACGTTCACATTACACGGTTAATTGTAATTATACGTAAAGATGAAATTTTGATTGAAAATAAAAAGTACATTATATCAGTTGTGACCTATTATAAAAATCGAGAGTTAAGTATAAGCATTACTGACCACGACTTATCTAACGACGGATTTGTTTACAGAGACACGTGAATCTGATGCACCGGTAACCTTGATCCGATTCGATAGTTGATAACCGTGGCTTGACGCAGGATTACTATGATTTTTATCGATTATTAGACTTTTTCGTGAAAGTACCGTGAAATTGATGTTAAAAAATTGTTAGATCTATTTTTTGGTTATTTTTGTATATGAATATGACTAGAGTAGTCCGTAGTTTGTCGTTGTCGGTACTGTCGTTTCTATCTGTGTCGTCGGTATCGAAACTTATGTTTCAACTTAAGATAACGCTGAAACGATCGTCATTGATGGGAAAAAGAATAATAGAATGTGAGAAGGTTGCATCAACGGAAAGGAAATTATCCACGCGCGTCAGTGATGATGTATTTAACCTTACACAGAATTCATGCGATTCAGGTGCCCGTTTTCTCGAGTGACGTAAGATATCCAGAAACGCTAGAGAACACGAATCAAGAGGAAAAACATTCTTCCTTATTCATGAAACAAAAAGATCGATCCTTAAATGTCAGACAGTAACCATCGAAGACACCAACACCTTTAAAATATAATGACTTCCACGAAGTCACAAGATACATGATTCACTTATCGAAGGGAAAACCGTTGCATGAATTTCAAATTCAATGCTTTGCACAAGGGGGAGAAACGAGTTCGAAAAAGTCACACCTGCCATGAGTGTTGTCGTAGCTAGCAGTCCAGTAGAGGGGCGCCACTGTCCCACGTTGCGGCTACACAGTGTCACATGCAAAAACTAACTCGAAAATTAGCTCTTCTCCCACGAGCCGACACTTCAATAGTTCCAGATTTCCTGTGTACTCATTCCGTCCTTCATTGTCACCAATCCCGCGTACTTCAACAACTTTCCTTAATTGAAAAGTATCTTCTAAACCATCCGGACGCTTGCTCGGTCAATACAATCGCAGCAGCATCATTTCACCGATGTGAGAAAAGCTGCTGGGAAGATCAATGAAACTCTTATCGCATGATGTTCGAATACTTATTCTCTCATGGATCCTCTTCCCCCCCGTTGTTCCCCCCTCGTGGACGAGGAACAACGATCGATGGATTTGGTCCACTATTCGGAAGATTTTCTTCCCTTCTACCACGGAGCACCGATTTCTCTCATCTCGATGCAGTTCGAAGAGTCTCGAAAGTAAAATTGTCTCTTCTCTTGACTAACTCGTGGGAATGTAGACGAAACGTGGGCAGCGTGCATCCACAGAGGTTCGCAGTGAAAATACGGCAATGCGGTGTGTGGAGCGTGGTGCAGTCCGCGCTCATGCGACTCCTCGCTGCTCGACGACACTTTCGCGGATGTACACCAATGGTACAGCACCATTGGATGTACATGAACGCACACTCAGCTGTTTCGCCGCGTCTGCGCCAGTCTGCCAGCTATTGACCGAATACCACGCTGTGCTTAATGTGTATAGCTATAGAGCTGGCTTCCTCTATGAACGTGTGTGTACAGAAACGTGCGCTATGTGTGCGCGTATGTGCACGGATGTATGTAATACACACATGAATGTACGAATAGCATCGTTCTGCACCCGCCTGAGAATGTATCTCCGTGAGACGGCCGACAGAGGGATCGTGGTGGCGGTCAGCTGATCGCGAATGTTGTTCCCCGGACTAACCCAATCTACTTTCGTCCCTTTCTATCGTATGAAAGCGGCGACAGCACGGCTGAAACAGAGAGATACACGTGCGCAGTCTCGCGCCGCTATATGTTTACGGTGGACGTTTAATTGCCCTACGGACTGGCGAAATAAAAATAACTTCCTCATTAAGGGACTACCGGTGCACGGCACGTTAACTGACAGTGGCGTAACGAGGTTTTCACGGGACCTGTGGCAACGAAAATGTTTCACGACAGATGTTCCGGATAAACGGGTCCAGATTTTGTTGTCGGTTCCGGTTGACCTATATTCCAAACGTTTCTAGAATATTGTATCACCGATGAATTAAAAATGTTTCCTATAATAAAATAAAATACACTCGACGAAAAAATTTTCAGATGCAGAATCAGTTAGAAATCTATCGTTGTCCACTCTATTATTCAAAACATAAATCACTTCTATCAACACGTTTCATCGTTCAACTATCTTTATACATCCCAATTTTTCCTAATCCTGTTATTATAATTGTTAAGGTTAGGTTCAGAAACACCCTAGGTATACCTCATCTTTACTTCACATACATTTACACACACATCTCCCTGTACTCTACAGTACTGTATACATCCTGTACGATAATTAGAATGCACAACAAAGATATTACAATGAAACGATGATGTGAATAATTAAACATATGGAAAGATGGCATGACGTATCGAATATATAACCCCAATCTTACCAACCCAATTCACCACGAAATTCAATCTTTCGTAAGATACATTTATTCCCATAAAATTCACTTTTCTCTCCAAGAAATTATCCCGTGTACAATATAATCTGAAGCAGTACAGCCTGTGCACCAACCTCCCGAAACAAGATGCACAGTATTCCAATTCCCGGGGCGAGCGAGAGAACGACGGGCGACGGAACGATGGTCGCGTTCGTCCACGGAAATCGTTATCTCTGACACAGATGTATCCGGAGGGATCCAGTGAACCGTAACGAGCACACACGCGATAGATCAGAGAGACTTACGTGGGCATTGACACGGCTGGACAGCCAAGCTGCAGAAGGTTTCTGGCGAGGTATTCCGGCGCAGGTGCGTCGATTGCAGGTGCGGAGTGCCTGGCGGGCCGAACTGGTGTAGCATCGCTCCTCTCCGGTGTCCACGACGACATGGACGCCGACGATTTGCCATCGTACGACGACACGTACAATCGATTACGATCGACGATGTCCGAGTTGGATGATTTCGAGAGTCTGAGGGAGCCCGCTCGCCGGAATGGCGGGCCTAGTTCACTGTCTGAAAGAACGCGTGGTCCAAATTATTGATCAACGATTTTCTATAGAAATTATAGAAATTTCTTGTAATTTCATAACGATTGAAGATTCGAATGCAAATGCGTAGTTTGCATCGAAGAGATAAATTTATTGAACATTTTCCATAGAGGTCTTCTCTTTATAAGACTTTATCGGTACTTCCTTTTTTTTCTTTCTTTTTAGATAGATAACTTATTTTAATTGCTGCACATTCGTAGCTAATTAAAGCTCAATCTGCGTATATACCGTGTCGATACATAAATCTCTTTCATACGAAAGTAGTATCGAATGAGAAGATAAAAAGAAATTTATTATTGCAATAGTTAATTGCTCGAACTGTACATATCACTTTCAGAACACTCCTTTCTCTCCTGTTAACAGTAACGAAACCACCTTACATACACAACTTAAACGAAGCACCTTGTACACCGCATCTGTTGAAACCACTTATATACAGGGTGTCCTATTATAATCTTTCTACGCGATTGCCTCCTAAACTGTTCGTTATTCGAAAAAATGTGTCAAGTGAAACTTGCACTATTTCAAGGACACCTTATAACGAGCACAACTCTTTTCTATGTAGGTGGAGCCACCTCCGAGATCTCGCGATGAGATCTTCCTTTCCTTTAAATAGAACAGCAATTTTTTTCTTTTCACTTAGGCGTGTAACCTATTCGCAGATGAGTTCATCGACCACGAAACATTTATGGGTCTTCCAAGGTTATTCAAGGTCGTTCACGATTTCGCGAAACTTTCTTTTCTTTACCGGAATAATTCGTCGATACGTAAACACGACACGAACTCACAACTAACGACGACATTTATCGGCGTTTCTAAACAGACTAACAAAACTTCTGGAAGACGTTCCACTTACCACCAGAGCACGGATGTGGTTTCAGCATGACGAGGCTCCCTGCTTATAATGATCGCAGGACTCGAGGAACGCTCAACGAGATGTTTCCTGGTCTTTGCATTAGGAAGAGGAAGTATATACATATACAACGTATCTTTTCTACCGTGGTCTCTAGATCTTCTTCTTGCGTGGCTTTCTCAAAGATAAAGTTCACATAAAAGAGCTCACCTCTTCTGATAACGTGAAAACTCAAATTGTGAATGCCTGCTGAGTATCGATACGCAAACACAGAGAATTCTGTTCAAAGAATGACATTAGGTCAATAAATTATATTCGTAATAGACCATACTCCTAAGTAAAAAGAAGAAAATGCTGTTCCATTTAGAAAACAAAAAAATACATAGTTCACTTTGAAATGTCAAAGGTGCCTCCATTTAGAACAAAATTGTACTCATCACACAAGATGAGTACACTTGAAGCAGAATAAATTTTACTTGACACATTTTACTTTGGATAATGAACAGCTCGCTTCTTGCATTAGAATTTTGTACCGACTGAGGTAAATTTTAGACGATAACAGAAATCGTGAAGGTGTAAAATACGGTCCACAATCCAAGCGATGTGAAGTGTTTCACACAATATACCCGGTGTACGTATTGTACCGTGCGTAGATACATTTAACACGTCACAATTACTTCTTCCTTTTCTTGTGCACCTTTGAAAACTACATACTGATCGTGGAAAAAAGAAAAAAAGAAGAGAACTGCAACAACGTTTTATTAACCTGAGTATCCTTGTGTCGGCGTAGCTATTGGTAGCGTACGCTCTTTATCCCCTGGTAACATTGACGAGAACGATAAACGTGGGCAAATAGCCCGAGGTGGACGAGACGGTGAGAAAATACGGAAGAAAATGGTGAAAAACGAGTTACGTGTACGGAAAGTCCGCTGATTGAAAGGCGACTGGTGTTTAAGAAACAGGTGTGGTGATGTTAGAGAAGACGTGATTCTTGCCTATTCCTGGCGACACTGCTTTAATTCGTTTAAAACCCTCTTGCATCACGTCAACCTTAGCATTAGCGTGTACTATGTCTTCGGTTTCTCATGAGTTACGTGAGCGCATTAAAGGCATTCTACTGTAATCAAATCAACGCCGCCACGCCGGCTCGTGCATATTCGGCCTGGCTTACCTCGTGTCTGACCGATTCGCAGCGACATTGAAAGCAGCCTCTACGATCGATGCGATCGAAAGTGGGGAAAATTAAACGTACGAGTTCTACGAAAAAATTCGTAAGAATTACAAAAACAAAGTAGAAAATCGGGAACTGTAAGCAGAAACAAATTCAGTGGCTCGTCTTTGATAGCACGTTCCTGTGGCTAAAAGAGGAAAGTAAGAATTTTAGTAGAAATTTTGCGTTCACGATCGTGATCGTTCAAAATCGTAAATTTTGTCAACGAAAAGGTGATCACGTTTAATTCTACAATTCTATTCGTGGGTGATAAAATTTCGATCCTTGCAAAAACTGCACCTTTGCGGAAATTCGCAATAGTGTTCGAACATGGACGAGACATGAAACGTTCGTGAAATTATCAAGCAAAGAAATATAACGTTAAATAGTATCTCTGTTTCGTATCGGTCATCGTGGACCATCCACGATGTCACGGAAGGTATATCAGACGAGTTACTGGTTTTTCTACTTCCGTTCGAGGTGTGTCAATACTGAAAGAACGCAGCAAATCGACGAGAAACGTCCTCGTACGTCCCTGACTGGCGACTAAAAACTTGAGCATCTTGCTCAGGTACTACATCAGGCTATCAGATTTTTTGGCAAGTGGCCGCGCATCCTTCCGGAGAATGCCGCATTTCCCTGAACACATTCGCGACACATACTTATTCACGGACCTCGCTTGATTCACAGTTATTTCCGGAATTACCCGTGTCCAGGGAGTTCCACGATGAGGTAACCACGTGGAATTCGCGCGATCTAGAGCGAAGACGAGCGGGTTCTCTCGCTTAATTAAAGTGTTACGCTCATTGTCATTCGGAAATTTGGATTTTCGGGTTTCTACGTTTTCCTTAACACTAGGTTTACGGGACGCGTGATTTTGACGCGTTTCGAATTTCACTGGGAAAATCACAGAAACCGTTTACATTTCTCTCCTACCATTTATGATTATTATAAATTTTATATAAATATATCGTTCGTATTATCATTCATTTATAAGTTAATAGTGTATAATATGTTGTTTTTAAATAAAATAAGTCGCTTTTTAACCAATCAGCTGTTGCGACCTCTTTGGAAAGTGTGTACCTAAAATGTGTCGCCAAAAGTAAGCGATGACGAGTATACTCGTCAAACACAGAGTATGTGTGGGCTGTTATAATATAGAATTAAGTTGTAACGAAATGACTGTTTTATTTTTTAATTGTATTACTGACAGGCCTTTTTGGTAACTGTCCTGAGGTGATGAATGTGTGAAAAAGAGATTTGTTTGAAAATAAAACATAAAAAGAAAAAGTAAAAAGCAGAGTAGCAGTAGCTTAATATGTTTTAGTTTTCACTAAAATTGCAATTTAAACAGCAAATTGTAACTACTTCTTACGCATGACGAGTATACTCGTCATAACACAAAATATTGCCATTTCTTCATGACGAGTATACTCGTCAGAAACAGGTAACTGGTTAAAGAAAATATACGGTTTCATTCACGCGTCAATTTGAGATAGGTATGTAAGAAATGTCCGTAAACTTAGTGTTAATGTCATCTGGAAAAGATTTCTGGAAAGTTTCAAGTTAACCCTTTGCACTCGAAGGCCCTTTGTTTCTACAAGGAAGTAGCAAAAGTTATTGTAATTTTTTAAAACTAATATTTTTACCAGAAGTTGGTCCTTTCCAACTATTTCACTGCTGAGATCTCTAAACATGTAGTGAACAATTCACGGAGGTCCACAGACCTGCTGTCTTGGCAAATATCATCCTTAAAGTTGCCTCTAATGGTAAATATAATGTCGCTTCTTAGTCGCCTCGCAGAGTGCAAAGGATTAATCTAGAAGCTTTAAGTAGAAGTTTTCGTAGAACGAAAACTCGTATCTCGAAGCGTTCTCGGAAGCGTCAAATATATTAACTATATCGGCGATGGTGATTGTAAGAAAATTTGATTAATCAAAATTAGCTCCAGCAAATTCAACATATTTCTGCCGACGAGTTGCAAGCAAAATTTAGCGCATTATTATAAAAATCTGAATAGTGGCAATAAATTCCTCAAACTCATTGTTTCTTGTTTGTTAAAAAATTATTCCTATCCCAAATGATGCATTAATATTTCGCTGTTCCTCTGCAGCACTACGTCCCCGTTTCAATTCGTAAAAGAAAATCTCGCTGAAATTTAATTAGAACCTTTAATATAACCTTAACCTAAGTTTCTCAGCGAAACAAGTGTTGCATTTAGAGCAGCAGACTGCAGGTTTCACTTTTTCATACGGTAAGTGACATGATTTTAGTTCGTAAAAACAAGACGCAATCTGGCATATAATAAAATATAAAATTAGTGTTAGTAATAATAATAGTGTTTAGAAAAAAATTGAAATATTACGCGTGATTTATATTTAGCGATTGTCAATCATTTATTTTACAAATTAAAATCATTTAAATCCAAATTTACATGTTCGAGTGAATGTGAATTTTCACATGTGGAAATGAACATCTGTCTATTCAACTGGATAAAATTGCTAATGTGTGAAACAAGTCTGACGAGTTAGTCTGATTCGATATAAAATTTGCCAAAAATTGATTTCTATTCGTTGAAACCCGCTCGTTCGTAACAAATCTAACAATGTAGGTGCATAACAGACGTGGACAATGAAAGAAGCTGTCGAGGTGCGATCAATTTAAGTAGTTCAAGGTACTTACGTTCCCACAATCATATACATGCAGTTAAACCCACCCTCTGTCCCCAATCTTAATTCTTTCAATACATTTGCTTAAGAAAAAATGAAAAGAATTTCCGTACGATCAATTTTCTTCTCTAGTAGAATCTTTTTTCATGACAATAATAATAGCTATGTTGTTGGATATTGTCAGTAAAGAATGAACTTCATTATATTATTCTGTTGCTTATTTTATCAGATATTCTAATTTTTCCAAGTTTCGCATTTTTGGATTTTTAATAAATACGTACACTGATATAATCTTGTGCCTTATGAAAACGAGTCAGACTCGTGGCACAAATTTTGGTCAAGATGCGACAGAAACAGTTATATTAATAACAAAAATGAATTTTAATTCTAATCAGTACATTATGTTCCCTTGCGTAATATGGTACCAAAACAGAAAACAGCTGACGCTTAGATGCGTAGACAGCAAGAAAAATCATAAGTCAAGGGGTTAATTCAAAAATACGCAAAATTCATTTCTGCAATTTTCCCTTTTTCTCTTTCTCAGCATCCTATAATACACTGCTCGCCAAAAATATTGCAATACATATATTTTTCGGTCTACTCTAATGAAACAATGACCTATTTCAATAAATAATACATTTATTAATCAAATTTTAACAATTCTCCCCTTTCAACAGCCCAAAAAATATACGTAAATTTCAGATTCGTGCGATTTCATTTTTAAGGTGTTCCAATTTTTTCGACGAACAGTTATCGCAGAGAAACTTATCCAACTGATCACGACGCACACTCGAAAGCTCTGAACAGTAGAAACCGTGACATACCGGACCGTGAAAGCCTGAAAACTCTGAATGTTACATAATTTTTCGAACAACGCGAAAAAGATCATCGTCGCGATAATCGTGATATCGTCGCCGGAGAAGCTGCTTGACTGATAGCGCGTTCAAGTTCCATTTATCCGTGTGCTCGTTAGTCCGGTCTCAATTAGTATTAAGTGAGCACATATGTGCACGTCCGTTCCTCACAGAGAAGGTCACAGGTTCAGAGAGCTGTGTTCCGTGATAAGGAGAGACAGGTTCTACGTAGAAACGATTTTTTTTTATCGCTCGTCAGAGGACGTCGATCCGCGTTCACAACGTGTCCACGCGTTTTTGCGAAAAACACGCACGCACGACCAGGATAAGTTGTTTGTTTATCTGACCAAGCGGATGGCCGCGTAATCTGTCGCGACGAGGCGCGTATTGCAAATAGCGCAGACGGTGCAACTCTGTTTACAATGAGCATGCCAAACGGCGAATTAATCCAGTTTAAATATAGAGTGTCGTTGCATTGAAAATTCTCCCATTTATTTGGAATCGGTCGCGTGAGAGACAGAGAGGGAACCGTTGAAATATAAATTTGCAGGAATCACGAGGATCGCGTTAGAATCGATATACATATTTGGGTGTTTCAGACAATGTCGTTTAAAATGTCTCTTTTTTTTGGAATAAAGAAAATTATTTTCGGTAGAGAGTTACGTGGTCTTGGCACCTGAATAGCTGTACGGCTAAACTGGTATTTTATTGTTTACGGAAGCGTCGAGGAAGAATGGAGGAAGCAAAATGCTTGAATTTATATTATGCAGAAATAACACGATGGTTGTTCGAAATGAAATAAAAAAGCGTCACTTTGTAATGATGTATATGAAAGGTGATTTCTCTGGAATAGAAAATTTGCACTTACAAATTTTCATTTCTACTTAAAAGTTATGCCTTCTAAGCGGTTTCCGTTGTACCTACTTTACCGTTTACCTCATACAGCACATGTGCGAGCATGGCTGCTGAGCGTAATTTGTCCGAAGGACACGTCGTTTCACGATTTAAAGATGTGAATTGACTATCCTTTTCTCCTGACATTTTCTCTCCAGATTCTTCTCTGTCGAGCTGCTTGAAAGCTCTTTGTTTTTGTTTACACAACAAAACTAGCCACGTTAAATTGCTTCAAAGAGCTCCGAGTGTTTTATTCCGATAAATTTATTATGAATCTATAAGAATATTCAGCTGTTTATTAGCTGATAATTTGTGTATTTATGAATTTAGAAATATTTGAATAAGTCTATAAGTAAGAAAGATACATTCGTACTATCGTTTGCTAAAAATTCACTTTTGGAAAGTTGCCAATGGGTCATTTTCGACCCTCGTGTTTAAAAGTACATAAGTACAAAGTGACGCCTTTTTGTTTCATTTTAAAAGCCGTCGAATGTTTCTACACAACCCTGTACGACATATTGATACTATCTACTATGCACACCGCCTCTGATTATATTATTTCAATATTTCCCTTCCTACCCCCGAAAACTCTGAATCACTATACTTAGCCCATTCGTTAACCAGCGTCATTGTTAACCTAGGAACACTGAGTCATCCTGTCTAATACGTGCTCTCCGTAACGTCTTAACCCTGGTGTGCTCTTCCGTTCGTCTATACGCTTAAGGTCGTTGGGTCAAAAAAGACCCAAAGACCTTATATCCAACAATTTTTATTACCAGCACGCCATATGAACCTGGACAATAAACTTTTAAGAGAATACACGAATTTGATAACAGCGAGAGTAATTTGAAAAAAAAAAACAAGATGGCGATGGGTCGAGAAAGACCCGAAGACCGCACTAAGGTTAAACTTGACCATCATCACTCTCAACCTTTTCGAATCTTTCAAATCTTCCCGATTTTACCGTCGTTCAGAGATTAGCTTTCCTAACGTCAAACTGCGTCAAAAACGTCAAATAAAATATGAAATTCTCTTAAGATCATTCTCTCCGAATCTTCGTTTCAAGAAAATTGATCCACTGCACGCGATAATTCGATCATCTTACGAATATTCGTAATTAACGATCTTATGAAATCTAAATACAGTTGTACGTTTAAAATTCCAGCCAAAAATATTGTTCAAAAGCAAATGTTCCATACACGTGTTTTTCTCTCGTGCGAAAAAGAACCGTAGCTCGCCTACGAACGAGCCTTAATGCGTAAAGTAAACGGATGGTTCCTGTTTGCAAAGTGTCGTCTATAGCCGCATAGATGCCAATCACCGTGAGGTTAAAGTTCGTTTGACAACAATGGCGCTCTATATCGAGCATCCATCCTCCGTTCGTGCTATGTGCACATCCGCACCACGCGAACGGTATCTTTGCCTTGTGGCGAGAATGAGTCTGAGAAGGGGACTCCTAGACATTTACGCTATGAATAATTTTCGGACCGTTATATATATATGCATATATGTATAATGCAATACTTATACGGTAACTTAACGTGCATATGCATAAATGGAATTAGAATCTTTAACGATGCTAATACTAAAGATCGACGCTTCTTATATATACTTGACCATATTTTTTCCATTTCATACTTGACACTGCTACGAATAATTAGAACGTTTCTCGTTTCATTTTCAACATAAAGAATTATAATTATTCCCTGAAATATTTCGAATTTTATTTTTCAAACCTTCCAAGATATTCTCCAAATTCTAAGATTGACCATACTTGACAGATCCTCCTAAAACGATTATTCCCAACCCTTTTCACCATATTCAGTGAACAAAAACGCTAATCGTACCGTATCGGAGTGAAAATATTTCTTTGAAAAATTTTCTATGAAAAATAACATTCGAAATATTCGATATCCGATTGAGAGAACACGGATACGAATAGAGATATATGGTATAACAATATCTTTCCTTATAAGTTTAGCGTTCTCGAGGGGATTTCGATTTATAATCCGTGAAAATGTTATAGAAATCCGGTTGAAAGGTTGCTGCTTATCGTTTTATGTGTACGTTTAAACAGAGCATATCTTACGAACACTACGTAGGTCTCTGGATGGTGATGCATCAATCCTCTTAAGAGATTTTCGCTAGTTTAACGAAACGCGACGAGCTTCTTTCACATGTCAATTGTTGCTATGGACAAACATTCACACATCCTCGAGAATGACTAAATAAACCGTAATGTAACTTTGAACTCTCCTTACAGCCGCCACACCACGTCTATGAATAAAGGATACAGAGGAGAGGGGGTGAATCTATACGATGGTTAATTGAGCAATAGGTCAAGGCTCGCTAATTCTTTGTCTTTATTGCTAATAAATGCTAATTACAGAAAAAAAATTCTTGTTTAATTGTAATTGTTAAACAAATTTCTTTTCTGTATGATTGTGTTAAAGGTGGGATATATATATACATAATTATTAAAAAAAGAAACTTCAATAAGAATGATTTTATTTATGGTTAGAATGTATCGAGATTTTTTAATCATACACGTTAAGAATGAGTAATTCATTTTTTAAGTCTCACACGTAATCAGAATGAAGATAACATTCGTCCACTTTTACTGGAACAAAAAGTTACCTGTTACAATATTACCGACATTTTGTTTTACGAAACTTCGTGAAAAGTTACAGTACTTACATACGGATATAATGGTATCTACCATTACCGAAGTACCAACCAAAAATAATTTCTTTGAATAATTAAACTCGATATAGTAAAGAAAAAAGAAAAATGTGAAGAATAATTAAAGTCGTTGAATCGAAAAAAAACGAGGTTTCCGCTGACGACCAAACCTTCCAACTAAGGTGCACTTGTAACGCAAGCTATAAATAACCGGCCGATGTATAACGTCGATATAGAATAACAATTACTTAGACACTAATACCAAGCAAATATATCGTCGTTACATCTGTGTCGTACCATATTCCAAACAGTCGACTTATCTTACGAAACATTTCGAGAAAAAAAAAACATAATTACTATTCAAATAATTAGTGGTTATGTACGAGAAAAAAACGCGGTAAATAGAAAAGGAAAGATGGTCTTACCTTTGTTTTGAACATTCTGCGTAAGACTCTGCTGTTTCGAGAAATTATCGAAGTTATTTCGAATCGCAGATCCGGTCTCAGATGCCATCGATACTTCGGATATGTCCGGTTTCTGATTAAAAGAACGGAAGAGAACGACTAGTCCGACCCGCTACTGCACACCTTGTCACGTTGCCTCTTCGATGTACCGCACCAGTGGAATTTCTGAGGATGCCTATCGACCGCCTTCTCGTACCTCGTGGCACAATCGAACTGATCGACCAATGGACGTGATAGAGAAAAGTCACGTGCGAGTTTCAACAATATATCAAGAGTAATCCGTTAACAATACTACGTTCGTAATGATATAAGAGTTTTGCCTAATTTCGTACAACGTAGTCACGTTGATGTGCACAACGTTAGGCGATTCATGAAAACTTACATATATCATCAATCGATCACTTTACGATTACTCGATGGATAGTCTTTGGTTATCGACCGGCTGAAATCGTGCAACGATCGATACCGCGCACAGCCACGCGGGATTACGTTCTTTTCACTGAATATCTTTATTGACCTTAAATAGCAATATTTATCTAAATTCTAGTTATTTGTCACAATTTCCAAGGTTTTATATACATATGTAGTAACATCTATGTTCCGGTGAGATTATAAGTGCACGACATTTTCTCTTGGCAATGAGTCGATTTCGCTAGTATCGACGAAACATTCAAATTTACAGTCATAGTACCAGAAAACGTGTAATTTCCCGTGGCTTTTGTATTCCCTTGCCTGTGTAGAGAGGTTAATGCTAGGAGTTGAAGGGTATTGGAAGATTAAGGTCAAGACAACTGGGACGTCGCATTAGGGCCAAGTCCGTTTTATGTGGAAACATGTGTGTACAAGTCTAACAGAGGGCAGACGTGTTGCATCGATGGAAACAACAAGAGAAAAGAATTAATTGTTGACAGGGTTCACTGAACTTTATTAACATGTAACAGTAAAACGGAAGTTATTAGGACTCGGTGGACGAGAAATCTGACAATCGTACGCGCTCTACGACCGTTCTCCCGGTAGACTGACGGCGAAGTTCAGTCAGAAAATCTAAAGGTTTATTTTTGGTCAGATTGTCGTGCCAAAGGAGGACAACGTGGCCAATGTCGCGTACGTACAAGTGGCGTCAAAACGATTGGCCTGACGAAGTAAACGGCCTGCGTAAGCAGGTCCTTGTTATTCTATATATATATATACATATATAGATGTATATATACATGCATACATACATATATATATATATATATAAGATGATT